GAGCACTGTCACCTCACTGGTGACACTACCCTGCCAGACAGGGCCCAGGCCCCAACCGCCAGCTCCCATTGAACACTGCCTAGCAAGGAGCCTTCAAGAACCCCGGTTCCCCAGTCCCCCAAGCCCCGCCCGTCCAGATGGCATAAAACTCCCCAAGCATCTCTATGGTCCTAGCCCTCTGAAGCTCCCGCAGGCCAGGCAAGACTGCTGAGGCACGAGAGGATCAGCCTTAGCCTTCCATTAATAATCCCCCCACAGCTCCCCACGACCTTTCTCAGGAATCACACTGGAACCTGGGAGGAAAACCACATGCATCTCCTGAGATGGGGCTCCTCCTTCACTCCCCACCCTGCCCCTCACCCCTGTGCTGAGCAGGCCTGGCCTGTGATTCAGAGCCTGGGGGAGGGGATACCTGGGCTGAGTGGGGGTGCTCCACGAAGGCCTGTGTGCCTGTGGGTGGGGCAGGTGGGCACAGGGGCTATGAGTGCTGGGGCTGGCAAGGCAGTCTCAGGCCGAGGAAGGCCCCTCAGGATCGCCTGAGACCCAGAGGAGGAAAGAGGAACAGAGCAGTGGGGAGGCCTAGGCCCACCTTCCACAACCTAGGCCTCACTTTCTTCCTAAAGATTCAGGTTTCAACGCTCTTCTGCCCCCACCCCCACCCTGCACGCTCCATTTCCTGGGCCCACTGCCTAGATGTCCCAAGCCTTCTAGTTGGACAGCCTATGAGGCTGACATATCTATCTTTTCCCAGGCCTACCTCCAGTAGTTGTGAGCTTTGGGCAGGTCTCTATCTTTCTGAGTCTCAGTCTTCCCATCTGTGGGATGGGCATGACCACAGGTTCTGGGGTGAAGGCGGTAACATGGGTGAGGGCTTGGCCTGGGTTCAGTGAGGGAAGACACTATTAGCCTGGTGACATCCCCCACAATAGTCAAGCTGGGCTGCAGGGAGGGAGGGAGGGAGACGGCAGTCTGCCCTCAAGGAGCTCGTACCTCGTATGGGTGGGCATAGCCTGAGTAAGCAGCACAGCCCAGAGATAGGGTGGAGGAGGCCTCTGGAAGGTACAGGTGTAGACCTTGAAGGAGGGGATCTAAACCCCTGAGAAAAGCATGTAGTGAAGACGGCGCAGCATGAGCAAAGCAGAGAGATGGGGGCACTTAGCCCACGGGAACACTGTGAGAAGACAGCAGGCGAGGGCCACGGCTGCAGCGTCTGGGCTTAATAGTAATCTTAACAATAGCTGCCTGCCCGCCACAGAGGGCTGTACCCTCTCCCATTAACTCTTACCACCAGCCTCTAATGCAGATTCTATTATCTCAGTCAGGGAAACTAAGGCAAGGTCATCCCATTGACAAGGATAAGCTCTGGATGCCAAAGTCTGAGCCTGCAGGGTCTACCCCTGACACCTAGCATATCCCCAAACTGCCTCTTCCCAGGAACTGGCAGTGTCTCCCCTACACATCCAAGGTACCAGGAGCTGATAGTGCCCACCTGTACACAGGCAGAGGGGAGAAGACACACTGACTGCAGAAGTGTCACTCCACGTGTGAGGCCACCTTCATTCTGGAGTCAGTTCCTCCTTAGTGACACAGTATGACGAAGAATCTGAGTGAGACTCACCTGCAGACTATGAGGGGACTCATCATAAAACGGGCTTGCTCCCTTCTCAGGGGTTAGCCTGACACAGCTGGCCAGGAGGAGGTGCCCAATAAAGATGCTGTCTAGGGGGACAGCAGCCAAGGGTCCCCCCCCAAATCCTCAATACCAGGAAGGATGTGAGCACCTGGAAGCTCTGAGTCCCACTGATGGCAGCCAGCAGTCCTCGAAGCCTCATCCCCTCCCTCCTGCAAAAGCTGCGTCAGGTTGTTGGGAAGATGGGGGACCCAGAAGTGTGATGTTGCCTCCATCCAATAGGGAGAGCCACAGGGAAGTGGAGACGGGGCTCAGAGGCCCAGACAGACACATGTCACCCACCATTAACCATAGCTAGACTGGACGTACGCCCTGTCATGGGCACTGCTCCCCATGTGTCCACTCAGGAGACGAGCACATATACTGGCTGTCATTAATCTGCTGGGAGTCCAAACCCCTCAGGCTAGTCACTGCTCCCACCCACCCCCAGAGGAAGGGAGGTACTGGCCAACACTATCACTGGAGCAGAGCTGGGCTAGGAGGGTGCAGGCAGGTGGGCAGCTCAGCCAGGACTCCACAGAGTAGGGGACAGAGCAACCCCAGGACACCAGAGAACAGAGCACAGAGGCCCAACAAACATGATGGAAGAGGTGGGCAGGTCAGGGTGGGCACAGATTGATGAGAGACCCAAAGGGGAGCAGGAGAGGATGGAGGGAAAGACACAGGGAGAGGCAAAGCAGTGAGGGCTGCCCTCGGCCTGAGCGCCGGGGTGTGCGTAATCAGAAAGAGGAAGCAGGTGAAAGGAAGTGCGCACGCTAGACACACATGTGCACACATATGCACGCATATGTGCACATACCAAGTGGCTTCCACCTTGTTTGAAACCCGGAATCAGGTGCAGGTAGGGTGGGAGGGGCCCCCCTCCCTAAAACCAAGCCCTGTCTGCCCTCCAGCAGTAACTCCTCTGCCCTTCTCGATCCAGTGGCAGCCTTGATCCATTTCACCTGGTGAGCAGAGAGCCACGCCACCAGAGAGATTACAGAAATAACGGCCGGCGGACCCCAAACCTGCACTCGTTTAAAACCCAGCAGCTTGCAAAGCCGGGCCCCTTTGCACTGGCAGATACTAATGAGAAAATGACTTTCCCATCAAGGGCTCTCTCCACTGAGGGGCTGTCACCCCAGTGACAGGAGGCTGACGGTCCCACTGTCCACCTTGGATTTCCACCTGTATCAAAGTGTCATCCCAGCCTGGCCACACTGACCCAGGAGAAGGTTCTGGGAGGCCACACATCCTGGAGCCCCACAGAGCCCTCTAGCCCCAATGGCAGCCCCAGGCTTTCTTGTCAATTCAACAAAAGCACCAACTCCAACTAGCCATGGACGCATTAGGGGAACCTCAAAATTCCCTCCCCTTCCTCCCTCCAAGGATCAATGGGCGTCCGCATCTGCAGGACCAGGGCAGCTGAAGGGCGCTGGCTGTCACAGCAAACGCTCTGTGTCGTCGCACCATTAGTCACCTCCCCCAGGACCCTCAGAGCTGTGTAGCCCCCACCCCACCCCCACTCATTCCCTAATTATGGTTTGCAAGACATGTCCCAAACCCTCGAATTAGCTCCGACTATACTGACAAGAGAAGAGCATCCAGCTGGAAATGTGCTGCTGCCGTCACACCCGCCTCACCATCTTCTGGCTAGAGACAGAAGGACAGGTGTCCACTCTGGTCAGGGTCTCACACTGGCCCTCTAGGGGAGACCCATGCGGGCCCAGCAGCCATCTGACCCTCTGCAGGTTGCAGGGAAAGGGAGCCAGGTCGGGAGAGGTAGGAGACATCTACTTAAACCTTCACCCAAGGAGCTATGAAACAGCCAGGAAAAAAATAATTGTGGCTTGGCTCGCGCTTGGCTTTGAGGAAGAAAGAACAACAAAAATATAATGCTTTTGCTCTTTTTAAACATTGCTGTTCAAGTCCATTTTCATCACAGCAAATGAAAGACAATAACGCACCCGCCAGCCCTGAACTTCCATATGATTCTCTTCTCCCTGTGCACCCCCCACACGCACACACAGAAAAATCCAGACGGTTGACAGAGGACACGTCCGTGCGGCACCTGTAATTTGCCAACTGATCACCCGCCTGAGCACAGCCAGGCTGTGTGAGGAAAGAAATGACAAGACAGAGAGAGAGACCCAAAGCAGTGCCTTTCCAGAGTTTGTTTTTCCCACATCTGGGAAAACCTACAAGCTAGAGACGGCAGGTTTTGTGGCAGAACCAGGGGCTCTTACCCTTGGGCAGAAACGGTCTAATGGTGCATTGCCAGCCTCTTTCCTTTTAAGGCCAGACCCTTCCCTGTGGCCACCAGCAGCCTGACTACTCATGCCCCAATCTCCAAGCCAGGACACTGATGAAAGAGTCCAGGGACAGGTGGCTTCTCAGACCCAGAGACAGAAGCAAGGTGGTCACTATTTCCCAAAGGGGTATCCGGGCACTGACATATGGCTGGGGCACTGTGTCAGGAAGTTGATGCTGTCCTAAAGGCCACATGCACTCTATCTGTGCCTAGTCCCAGACACATCTGGCCAAGCTCACCAGGAGGCAGCCGAGTGTGCTCTCGGGGAGGGAGAAGGCTCGCAGGACCATGAGAATCTGCAGGAGCTGGCAGAGCCGGGAGATGCTATTACCCTGTAGGCAGCAGCAGGGGCAGGCAGGGGTCCTCCCCACCATTTACCTTCTGTCCAGGACCCCAGCACTTTCACTTCCTAATTGAGCTCTCCAGGAGACTCTCCCCTCAGGCGCATGGGGGGGCAAGAACAGCGGACACTGATTCCCCTATGGCACTGGCCACAGAAAGAAGGTGCTCACATCCTCTGCATACAGCCCCCCACCGAAGGAAAAGGCCCATGAAGAGAGGTGTGTAGGTGCCCCCACCTCTGGCTCTAGAGAGCCAGCTTCCCAGCGGGGAGGGAGCGTGGAGCAGGTACGCAGCTTCAACTCCGCCGGGCAGGGGTCGTTGGCTGCCCCCTCACCCTACCCTGGGTTCCCTTCGCAACGGGACGGCGGCAGGGGAATTAACTGACAAGCTAGGACCCCTCACCCTATCCTGGGGCTTGAAGATCTTTGCCTTGCCCCGTTTGGGGGGTTTAGGGGAAGCAGGGGCACCGCGGGGAACTTTCGCGACGCAGCCAGAGCGCTGGGACCGCGGCTGGCAGCCCTCGGGGCTTGGGGACGCCGCCCCCGGGCGCAGCGGGCAGCAGGACCCAGCGCCCCCGCCCCCGCGCGAGGCCAGGGAAGGACCGGCGTGGACCTGGGCCGGGGGCGGAGGGGCGCGCAGTGCTCGGCTGGGGTCCCACGGCCGGCCGAGGCCACTTACGTGTGCTGCTGGGGGAAGCTGTAGGCAGAGGCGCCGGGGGCGGCGAGCAACGGTAGAAGCAGCAGCGAAGGCAGCAGCAGTGACAGCGGGCGCCGGGCGCCGGGGCCGGGCTGGGGGCCGCAGCCGGGCCAGGGGCGCGCAGTCCGCGCCGGGCCGGGCCGAGAGGCGCCGCAGGTCCGAGCCGGCACCGCCATGTTTCCATTCAAGATGCGGCGCCGCGGGGAGGGGGGGCAGTGGCGGCGGCGGCGGCGGGATGGGGGGGCGCGGGCGGCGGGCGGCAATTCGGCCTCTCCTCCGCCGCCGCCTTCTCCGCGCGGGGCCTCCGGGGCTGCACGGGCCGCAGCGCCTCTGCGGGCTGCGCGCGGCGATTTGCCCGCCGCGCTGGCTCGAAGCGCTCTGAGCGTCCGGCCCGGGACCTGCGCTCAAATAGCGGCCGCCGCCAACCTGCCGGCACCGCCCTCCTCTCTCCCTCCCTCCCCACTCCCGGGCCGGCCCGCCCCCGCGCGCCCCCGCCGCGGCCACGCGCCCACCCGTGCCCGCGCGCCCCTCGTCCCGGCGCAGCCCCGAGCCTGCCCTACTGGCCCGCGCGTCCTGCACCCCAGCCGCTGTCCTAGCGCCCAACGTGTACCCCGCCTCCACGCCTCAGACCCTGCTGCTCCCCTTCGCCCCACAGGCAGGAAGAGTCCCCCGACCGCGGCCCAGGGCTGGCGCATATGTGACCCTTGGGGGGGGGAGGGGCTCGACCTTCAACAGGCTTAAGGCCTAGAGTCACAGCTTTAATGGTGGAGTGGCAGCCTTCAGCAGAGACCAGAGAAGAGGACAGTCGTGCTGAACTCACACCCTCAGTGACTGCAGCTACCTTCAAGATTTCTCTGTGCTTCGGGCTTGCACGCTCAGCCTCTGGCAGAAAGAAAGGGCCTGGACCCTCTGGTTCCCTAAGTGGAAACCTGGGCCCAGATGCACAGTTGTTGGGCGCTGAGGATGGCAGGAGGCAGCCTTCTGCAGCCACTCATTTCAGTTCCCTGGCTGAGCAGGCACTGTGTGCAGGCCAGCCCCAAGCCCCAGCTCACAGGGATTGCATGGCCTCTATTTAGACTCTTCCAGGGCCAGGAAACTCATCCCTACACAATCCAGTCATTTCTGTCCTGGAGGCCCCTGGCTCTTCCTTGCTTGGGGGAGAAGACTGGGGCTAGTGTCAATCCCAACTCTGAGCTTCTCAGAGCCTCAGTTTCCTCTCTTGCAGATGCTCATGTGGGTGCCCACCCCAACTTCCAAAATGAAGTGAGAATGGGGTGATTGCCAGTAAGCCGAAGCACTCGCAGGTGCGGAGAGCGTCCCTGGAACCTTGCTCTGCTTCTGGTGCAGATAGGATGGGAGAAGGCTCCCCGCCAGCCTGGCACAGGGCAGGGCCCCTCAGCAGTAACTGCCTGCAGACTCTGCCTGCAATGAGGAGGGAGAGACAGTAACCAGCAGGGTAGTTCAGAGATGTCCAGAGGCCCCAACTCATAGTATCTAGGGGAGGGGTCTCCTATCGCCCACCCCCAAGTCAGCCAGAGAAGGGTTTGCAGTTGAGGAGGGAAGAACAGTGGCCCCTAGACTGAGAAGGGGAGAAGTAGAGGCTAGAAATAGGGATCAGGACAACCTTCACTTGCTCCTTAGTCCTACTTAGGCTGCCTCTCACCCCTGCCCCATCCTAACAAGCCAGGGCTGGACCAGGGACAGTCCCCTTCATTTCTTGGAGTTCCTCCTTCCCTAACTGGAATGAGACTTCAGGGGCCAGTTTTCCCAACAGGCCCCAAACCATGAGGCTCCAAAAACATGATCAAAGGAAGCCCTGGGCCTCAAACCTCTGGCAGTCCTGGGACCTGATGGACAGGAGGGACCTGGTGAACTATGGGAGGCCAAGAAGGTCAGCTCTATGGAGAAACAATCAGGGTCCTCACTGAGCCAGGTGTCTGATTGTGCCAGATGCCCCCACCTCTGAACAGAATGGGAAGATGGGAGACAGGAGTCCTGCACAGAAGCAATTCAGCCTGGGCTAACCAGCCCCCTTCCCAGTCCTTCCTGCTGATACGTGCCTCCAGCATCTGCCTTCCCCATGCCCAGACTAGGGCTGGCCGGTGGTGTCCTCCCCCACCTGTTTGCTGGACAAATACCTGTGCTCATGGCTCCAGGGGATCAGCACAAAGGACATCACTCCTCCTGGCTGCCCTGTGGTGGGGAGAGGTAACTTCCTAGGGCAGACCCTGCAGTGGCTTAAAAAATGTCAGGGGTAGCCTCCCTGCCCTTCGACATCAGGATGGCAATGCTATCCCCAAAGAGTGCCCAGGCACTTGGAGCCAGTATAGATGCAGCAAGTGGGCAGTTGAGCATTTCAGTTCTGGCCTCTGCAGATGTGCACCTAATTGAAGCTGCTGGCACTGAGGAAAAGGCGGGAGATTTTGGTTGACAGGCTGTTAAAGGAAGACAAATAAGGAGGGGAGCTAATTAAGAGTAAACGGATAGTAAGAGTTTACACATTCCAACTTTTGAGGCTCACAACATCCTCAGCCCTCCTAGTGGCTGGCAACAGGCACAGATTAAGATCTTGGGAGGAAAAATCAAGACTTCCCAGGGAATAAGGGGACTTCCATGGCAGGCACATTGATAGTCAGGAAAGGCCTGGGGCTACCCACCTGGCCCGAAATGCCTGTGCTGGAAGATGTAGGATGGCAGGGGCAGGTAATGCTGCAGTCATCAGAGAGGGGCCCGGCCCTGGCAGGGACCCTGGCAGGTGCCAGTTCTACATGAGAGAGTCAGAAGAGACTGAGAGGGCTTTATGGAGAACCTACTATGTGCCAAGCAGACCCTGAGCTCAGTTATGCCACTGGAGGGCAGAGGAATCTCGTCAGGAACATTCAGGACACCTGGTGTGGCAAGATTTCCCACCCCAGCCTGCTCACTTCCGGCTTTCTTTCCCATCACCCTTTTGTCCCACCATTAAGTTTACAGTCTGCGAGATGGCTCTCACCTGCACTCTGGGAAGCCAAGGCAGGAGGATCGCTGGAGTTCAGGAGTTCAAGACCAGCCTGAGCAAGAGCAAGACCCCATCTCTACTAAAAATAAAAAAATTGGCCAGGCGTTGTGGTATGCACCTGTCCCAGCTAGTCAGGAGGCTGAGGCAGTAGGATTGCTTGAGCCCAGGAGTTTGAGGTTGCTGTGAGCTAGGCTGACGCCATGGCTCTCCCACCTGGCACTTTAGCTCAGGTGGGAGAGCAAGACTCTGTCTCAAAAAACAAAAGAAGTCAACAGTCTGGACAGCTCCTTACTCAGTGAAAACTCCTGCGTGGGGGCTTTACTCCTACAGTCCCTTCTGCCCTGAACACCCTCTTTCACCTCCACCACTTGAACCCAGGCTATCTGTGAACCCATAAATACCGCCTATGCCAGGAAGCCTTCCTGGACCCAAACTAGATGGGCCTCCCCATCTCAATCTCCTCTCTCCTGCCCCCTGCCCCAGCCAGTATGCAGCAGCCTCTGCCTTGGGTTCAGAAACACACTTGCACTCTAGACTGTTGTCAAGCTGGGACCAAGCCTCCCTAGTCCCAGTCACCCCCTCCAGGCCTCACTGAGAGTTTGGCCATGGGAGGGCATAGAATGTTTTGACATAAAAGAACCATTTGGGTGGCATGTCAAGGAGCCAGGGGGTAGTATGCCCAGGAAGGGTGGGCTAGTCTGGGCATAAGGTATGTCAGGTTTGGCATCAGACATCACAGGTCATGTAGGCAAGTCATTTTGCCTCTCTTGGCCTGTTTCTTTGTCCATATGGTGGGAGACATGGTCCCGATGTGGTAGGGGTGATCTGAAGACCCAAAGCATATAATACCCTTAGGGCAGGACTTGGTGCTCAGCAAGGGCTTAATGAAGGGGAGACATAGAGAGACTCAGGCAACCCCAGAGGGGCAAGCCCTGTATGCACACAGGCAGAGAAGGCTTCCTGGCAAAGAAAGAGGGATTCCAGCTCAGTCTTGCAAGGTGAGCATGATGGGGTGAGCATATTAGGGAGGGGAAGAAGGGAGACTCCTGGGGTAAGCATGACCTGAGCCAGCACCTGCCCTTCTGAGCCCCATCAACCCAGGTCTGTCTCCCCCTGGGTCAGTTGAGCTGGCTCCAGCCTTGGCTAGTGTCCTATCACAGGAGGCTGTCCCTGTCTCAGCCAGTCCACTCTGACATGCCTATTCTCTGCCCACTTTGGGCTAGACTCAGTGGCTTGCAAGCAGATCCAGTTAGGATACCCTCCACATATGGGCTGACTGCCAGCATTTGCACCTGCCAGTGGCTACTTTGGCTCACCTGTTAATTCTTTGGAGACACTCAAGGATGTGATGCTCCCCAAAATGCCCCTGCCTGAACATGGTAAGACGCACCATGGCCTCTAGATGTGATCAGATGGAGACCCCCACCTCTGAACGCATCAAGGATCCTTCAAGGATCCTCAGTGCAATATCGACCCACAGTCAGTTTAGTACCATTTACTGTAACAAGTGGAGGGGGCTGGAGGGGGCTGCCCTTTCAAGCAGTACAAGTGTCACCACCCATACATCAAAATTAGGGCCAAGTTCCAGGTTGCAGACAGTCAAAGCCTGTAGGACTCCCTTGTTAGACAGAGGGGAAACTGAGACCCAGAGAGGGGAGACTTGCCCAAGGTCAGTGCAAATCAGAAAGTGGAGCTTTGAGTCTGGAGACCTGGGTTGTGATTCCAGATCTGTCTCCCCATGACCAAGGGTGAGAGGCCAGTGAGAGCCCCCAGACCATGGGTCCTGATGTCCCCATCCCAGCTTCCACCAGTAGGGAAGCCAAGATCCCAGCATGGGGCTCTAGGGGAAACTAGGCCTCTTTGCACAGCAGTGGAGCCCCTCATTTGATCTCCATTGTCATGAGAGTCACTTCACTCAGATTATTTCACTGAGCAAGAGCTGGTTAATTGGGTAAGTTCTGGTAAATGTAAGAGGCTGGATCATTGGCCCCTGGGAGCTCCCCTCGTAGTAGGGGAATATGATACACAGGAAAATCACGATGAGTACCTCAAACCACACATAATTACATCACATGGGTGAAACAGAGCATGGGGTCACTCAGTGCTATAAGTCATGGGTTGTTGGGGACCTGACCTGCTGGATGAGGCAGTCTTGAAACTGGCACAGAAGGGCAGGAAGGGCTTGGATGGGCTGATGGCTA